AGTATACGTGTGGCTCATGATGTTAATTCATAATTGCAGTGCATGTGTTTGGAAGTCTTACTGATGCTCAGGTATCACAAACATTTGGGATGTTAATCATTTTATTAAAGATGAAAGACTTTAGACAGTTTTTCAACTCTCTGTAATGCCATAGTGATCGTTTGATATATGTGGACCTGCAGCGGAGTTTAGGCCCAGACACGGCTAGTGACTTCAGACTTAACGACCGGATAGTCTCTCTTGCTGTTTAGGTGTGTCCGGATTTGATTTTAAAATGAAATTCTCTTCTTTTTTTTTAAACTACAGTTTAATTAGAGCTGCAGGCTCACTTTGCTCTTCGTCAGGAGTATATTTTACAACCTTTCAAGGGTGGAGTTTGTTCCTTTAAACAGCCAGAAGACACAAACAACAGAGCGAGTTTTCCCTCCAAAAACTGGACTATCTGTCATCACAAATCAACGTAGAATTGTCATCTCTGTATGCTGTGAATGACCCTTTTTGGTGTTTTTGACTGTTTTTCTGTTTAAAATAGATAAACCAGTGTGTTTCACAACTCAGTGTAAAAATAGACCGGTCACAGAAACAACAGATGTGATATATATAATCATGCACCAAGCAGATGATGTGTGTTATCCACAGAGTATTGTTTGTGTGATCAGCATTGTTGCATGTAGCATGGCGCAGCGTCAGGCTAAAAACATCAAGAGGTTTTATTCACAGGACTCTATGGTCTGGTGTCCAAGAAATTCAACTCCAGGTATGAAAAATGTTCTCTCTTCTCTTTTTTGAGGAGCTGGATCAGGTCTCATTCAGACACATCCCCAGATCAAGTCCAGACTGTCTACAGTTAGTCGTTTCCACAGCCTCTGTGCGTTTAGATTGTGTAATCTAATGTAAGATTCGGGGGAAAAAGTCCTCTGGCTCTTTTTCTGTGTCTGCAATCTCAATTTTCAAGGCCCTCATTTTCCCAGTTTCCTCTCATTCGAAATCCAGTTCTGAGATGAAATGTGAACCTTGGAAACTGGAGCTCTTATATCAGAGTTAAGTAGTCTTCAGTCTGTGCCTGAGCCTTTCCACCTGATTCTGCATGTTGCTGCCTGCACCAAGTCCTAGTGGTTAAAGTCCTCTGTCACAAAGTGTTATAGGCAGACTTCCTCTGAAGTGTCCATGTTGCTTCAGAGTGAAAATATTTTATGCCACTTGTTGGGTGTTTCATTGAGGTTCTTTCATTTTTCTGC